AACAAAAGGAAGAACTATGTAACAGGTCAGAAAAGTAGAAGAGAAAGAGAAGAGAAGACAAGAGAAGAGAAGAGAAGAGAAGAGAAGGTGTTAGGGAAAAAACTGAACATGGGGCTTTTAGGTTCCCCACTTAATTTTATATTTCAGAAATAATTAGAGAAGCAAATTACATTAAAGCTCTCATAGGGTGGCAGCAACTAAAGGGGGTCAAGTGACCACCCGTGTGACAACTTAAAAAGAATAAGAAATAAATACAAAAAAAAAACAACAATTGAATTATAGGCCCAATAAAGGACAAACATAAAGTAAAAAGAGGGGGGGGGGAGGGCAAAATGATAGCTCAATACTCCCCCTCAAGCTGAGCATAGATGTCAATCTTGCCCAGCTTGCTTACATATTGCTATAACTTATGTCTGGAAACCCCTTTAGTAAGCATATCTACTAGTTGTCCTTCTGAAGTCACAAAAGAACACACTTCTCTAGAAGCAATTCTCTCCCTTATGAAGTGTCTATCTACTTCAATATGTTTTGTCTCGTCATGTTGAATTGGATAAGCTTTATTGATGGCAGCCTAATTATCACAATATAGCATCTTAGGTTTATCATGGACTTCCAACTCTCCAAGAACTGGTCTCAGCCATAATAGTTTCGACACTCCATGGGTTGTTTCTCTATACTCTACTTTTTCTGAGGACCCTGCCACTATTAATTGCTTCTTACTTCTCTGAAAGACTAGGGTGCCAGTTGGTAAGTCTTTTTTGAAAGATCTTTTGGAAGATCTGACAACTAAAAGACAATGTGAGCTTTTGCATAAAGATTTTGGTAGCCCACAGACTATTTGGTGGAGGCACATCTTTCCGCATGAAGACGAGGCAAAAAAAAGCGAAAAACTCCATTTGGAGCTTCCCAAAAATAGCCCAAAACGGGCTTCTTGTGTCTTTTCGGGTTTGCATCTTTCGACGGCTAGATTTTTTCCCAACCAAATGGGAAAAGACGAAAATGTGGGCTACTAAGCTTCTAAAAAGCTGACAGCTCACGCAAAAAAGACGCACCAAACAGGGCCTAGATTTCTGGCAACAAGATTACAATACCTAGATGTAGATTTCCTGTCATCAACACAACCAACCTGCCTAGCTAGCATTTGTGCAAGCCTCTATTCTCCTGTGTCCATGATTAGCAAAAGGAATTCCCTTTCTTGGAGTTCCCTTCAAATAGCATGAAACCCTCTTGGTGGCTGCTAAGTGGGTATCTCTAGAAGCATTTCATAAGCTGACTAATCACAGTCACAACATAAAAAATGTCAGGACTGGTCATGCAAAGATATAACGGCTTCCCTACAAGTCTCTAAAATGCTCCCTTGTCAAATATTATGGTTGTAGTCCATAGGAGTAGGAGCTAGCTTAGCATCAAGTCTCCTTGTTTTTGTCAACAAATCAAGGACATACTTCCTCTAAGAGATAAAAATCCATTCCATGGAGTGTGCTACCTCAATATCCAAGAAATACCACAACTCTCCAAGATCCTTAATCCCAAATTCAGTATTAAGGAATTGCTTAAGTCAATCATTCTCTTCAACATCATCTCATGTGATAACAATATCATCTACATAAACAATTAGAATAGTCATGCATCTTTCCTCTTTACAAAGAGGGTATTGTCTGATTGTATTTGAAGATAACCAACACCAATTAAGGCATTCCCGAATTTCTCAAACCAAGCCCTTGGTGATTGTTTGAGTCTTGGAGAGATTTCCTTAACTTACACACCTTTTCCTCCATATTCTTACCATACACCCCAAGAAGAAGAGACATATAAACTCATGAAGGTCTACATTCAAGAAAGCATGTTTAACATCTAACTAATATAGTAGCCAAGAAAAAGAGGCTACCAAGGACAATAGAACATGAACAAAGTTCATCTTGGCTATAGGTGCAAAAGTCTCCAAATAGGCAACACCATAAAACTGGGTATATCCCTTTGCCACAAGGTGAGCTTTATATCTTTGAATGGATATACCCACCTGTAACCAATTGGTTCCTTCCCAGCAAGCAAATCAACAATGGCCTATGTATGATTATTATCTAATGCTTTCATCTCAATCCTCACAGCACCCTTCCATTCTGGTTTGGATAAAGCTTCTGAGATAGACTTGGGGATAGATTGAGTAGGGACAAAGGTTAAGAATTAGTAAGAGGGGGACAAAAGGCCATAGGAAAGGTGCTTGGAAATGCAATGAGTAGTACACTTACGTTATCTTTCCGGGCAGCGATGAAAAGGTCAAGGTCTAGAAATTCAGTGCAACCCACATATGCATGGATACAACGATACATAAATGCTTTAAAATCTTTAAACCTTGGGATGATAGAGCTAAACATTGAGGTGCACATCCAGTGGAGATTACCACAACATTTTTTTTTTGTTTTTTTTTTTTTGAGAACGGTAACTTTCATTGCAAGGAAAAAAGGGGGTAGGGGATGTATGTGAGAAGATCAACAAAGGCAAAAAAGCAAAATCTGCCTAAGAATTATAAAGGCAAAGAATTTGCACTATACAAAAAGATCCTGTCCGCCCTTGATTTTGCAAAGCATCTGCTGTAGAATTCATCTCCTGAGGAATTCATCTGAAAGAGCAGTTCGAGGAATTTGCAATCTCATAGATCTCATCAAGGAAGTGAGCGAATCTCGGAGGACCGGAATCTATGTTTGAAGCGCATCCTATGGCATTCTTAGAGTCTCCAACAACAAGAGAGCTCACTTGGATTCAAATGGCAATCTTCAAGCCAATAAAAAATGCTCTAACTTAAGCCTACGAGGCATTACCCCAGCTGGCCTACTAAAAGCCCAAATAACACTACCATCAACTCTGAGGATTAAGCCTCCCATACAAGCCATTCCCAAGTGACCTGAAACACTTCCAAAACTACCATCAAACTTCAAAATGAAATCAGTGGCTGGTCTTGGATAAAGGTCAGGTCTAAGCTGGGGATAAAAATTGGATAAGTGCAGCACTTCTATGAGATTCTGTCCAAGTTACAATAGGTAATCCCTTTGAACTCACTGCAAGATAGCATCCTCAAAAAGATACAAGGCAAAACTCCTCTAAACCCTTCCAAGGAGATGGATTTGTTCTAAAAAATTCTATTGTCCTCCTCCCAAATGCACCACTTACAGCATGGGGAACAGGTTTCAAAAGATTCTAACCCTAGATTCCCAGCTTGCAGACCATCCATTGAGTGACTAAGTCAGTAATGGAATTTGGGGGAACCCAATAAAAGCTGTATTCATGATCAATATCAAGGAAGAATTGTCATAGGAAATAAGAAATCCCACAATTAATAGGAAGATGACTAATAAATTCCCTACCCTTCATACATATTATGCAAACATGAGGAGACATCACAAGCTGACCTTTTCTTTTCCTTTCTGGAATGTTGCATGCATTAATTCAACCCCAAGCAGCCTCCAAAATGAAAAAAGGAGACCTTAGAGGGAATGTAGGCCAAAGTCTTCTCTCCAAGAGGACAAGAGATGAGGATCTAGCTATGAGATGATGGAAATAAGATTTAATGGAGAATGAACCATGGGAGGTTGGGAACAAATGTGTTTTATAAGGGAGGTTGGGAGAAAGAAAAACATCTTTTGGGGAAGTCAAGAGGAAACAAACATCCTGCGTTTCAGAGCCAGTGAGAGATCTACGGAAGTTGAAATTATAAGATAGGCCATGAACTCCTCTAGACAACACTGAAGAGATCAAACAGTCCTTGTTCAAAGTAGGAAGATGCTAGGTACTCATCAAAAAAAGAAGGAAGATGATAGGGTATGTGAAACATAGAGGTTGAGAATCCCATTAGAGATCAGTTGAGAATCTGATGAGGTTACCATCACAGAGAGAGAGCCTCAGAAAGGGGGAGAAAACATAGGTTTGAACAATACCTTTCGAAGTATTGGCTGGAGAGATTAGGGGTAAGTTGCTGTCCCATCCATTGCTGTTCCTACCATATTTGCTTCGAATGATAGAGACCCAAAGGTTAACTTGTTCTATCAGGAAGCACCAAAGCCATTTACCCAGCAGGGCGATATTCCTTTCAAGCAGATGACCTTATTCCAAGCCACCTTCTTTAGCATGCAGACCACTGTCCAATTAACTTAATGATACCTTCTATCACCGCTTCTCTCCCAATGAAAATCACATTGCAGCTTCTCTATATGATTCCTCACCTTGGCTGTTATTGCACAATTCAGCTTAGTAAAGTTGAATTAGCATCATTCCTGTGCTTCCTTTTGGAGCATTGCATTAGACTGTTATTGAAATAATTTTAAGGTCTGAGTGGATAGTCTTTTTGGGATATTATACATTTCTCCCAAATAAGCTGCTATGCTTTTTTTTTCTGAAGATATGTTTTTTGGTAGGTTTTCTTTTTTTTTTTTTAATGTGAATTCATGTATAATACAGAAATTATATGGAGATTTACCATGGGCAGACACAAAAAACTGTCAAGCAATAAATTGTTGTCTTTGGTTTGTGGTGGATCTTGTATTGGTAGGACATACTCGTATCTTTGTTTTGTTGGACTTTTCTTGGTCAAGTGGTTTCATGATTAATTTTCACTGAGGTCTCATTTTTACTGGTATGACATTCTTTCAATTTTTTTTTCTGGCTTGCTTGTCATCATTTGATTTTTTATGTAAGCTTTTGACGGAACTTTGTTTCCATCAACTGGTAACAACGAGAATTGGTTAAGCTTAAGATCTGAATTTTCAAACTTGATCATTAATTAGACCACTAATGAGTTAAAGTGCCTTCTCATATTCAACATTTCAAATTATTAGACTGGCATTTTGGTAGCTGATTTAGCAGTGCTTCCATCTCATTGGTAATAAATGTCCCGATAATGTCTTCTTTTCTGTTTTCAATGAGATATTTCTCAAGGAAACCCTGTTTTTTTATCTTGTTAATTATTGCTTGTAATCGATATGATGACATCTATCTAATGTGGTTAGGTATCTGTAGTTTGTATGAAAGAAAGCTGAAGGATCTCAATCCAGCTATCAGAAACATCACTTATGACATTGCAGATCTCTACAATTTCATTGATGGCCTTGCAGACCTGAGTGCATTAGTGTATGTCTTACCTACTCTTCAGGATAATTTTATACTAGCAGAAAAGTATACCTATTTTTCTTCTCTCTCTCTCTCTCTCTGGCATGCATGCTTCTTGCTTTCTCTTGTGTGTGTGAATCTAAGGGGCCTGTTCGTTTGCTCTGAAGTCTGACATCTGAAAGTGTAATAATTACATTAAGAGGTATATTGGTATTGGTGAACTTTTATTTCCTCTGAACTCTAAATGCAGAGAATGTTGTTCTGAATTCTGAATTATGAATTCTAAAAACTATCAAATATCCATTTTGACCCCATATATGAGAGTTATTGTTTGTCTTTTTGGGGGCATCATTGGAAAACGAAAAGTTGTATGATTGCACTTTAAGAGATAAGAGGAAACGAACAACCAATTTTCTTTTGAAGTTAAAAGATTCCTCTTAAGAGATAAGAGTTAAGAGGAAATGAACAGGCCCTAAGGGCACAAGTACTGCACAGGCTCTTCTAAATGGATGATGTGTTCAACATGGACATGAATCAGAGTCCAGCACTCCATGGACTCTTGAAAACACTTCTATGTAACATTCCCTTTTTATCTCCAAGCTTATTTGACATAAATGAACAGTTAATGTACAAGATTATGCTATTTATCTGATGAGTCAGACTTGAACACACGTTGGATTCCAACTCATGTCTGTGTTCATGCAACACTGGGAGACATTCAAAGTGGGTCCCACCATTTTATCCATATGAGATCTCCTGTATCAGAAACTAGTTTATATGGGAGAGTGATAACCTCAGCTTTGGCATTCTGTTGGATGCAGATGGGTTGGAGGAAACCACCCCAAGAATATGCATATAATCTAGGAGCAAAACCATCCCAAGGAATATGCTTGATTATTCCCAAGGACAATTTTCATATCAAGACCCAATCATAATCAGGTTGCTAGTACACTGGATCCATGATTTCCGACATCTTGCTTTTACATTAGTTACCATTTGTTTCAGACATCTATACTTTTTTTTTTCAATATATATTACCACCAAAAAGAACATGCTTGATTCTTTCCCAGGAAAATTTTCAGAACAAGACTCAATAACAGAGTGTGGCAATTGCTGACCTGTCCATCATTCCATCCCATCCAAACTAATTCATTCAAGATGTTAGTTGAATATGGATTGAGCCACCCATTGGGTCAAACAAAGGGGTTAGATTAGGTTGGGTTATAGGTATCCATTTGGGTCAATTGTATGAAAACATTATTTACATCATTCTATCCTAAATCCTCTCTCTCTCTCCCCCCCCCCCCCACAATTTTCTTTCATATCTCTCCTCTCTCCCCATTTTCTCTCATTTCTCTTTCCCCTCTCATTTCTCTCTCCCACTGATTTTCTCCCCTCTCCTCTCATCAGTTTCGCTCTCCTTTTGATTCTCTTGGTTGTCTCGTCTCTCCTCTATCTTCTTTCTCGTCAATTTTTTTATCGACTCCTTGGATTGAACAAACAACTAGGGACATATGATAACCAAACCCAACCTATTCATTTGCCACCCCTACCAATGAGGCAATAGCAATCAGATTTCAGTTGGTAAGACTGGATCCATGAGAACATTATGCCTGGCCTTGTGCCAGCCTGGTCTTGCCTGGTAAGTTGTGAGCTTTGTTTGTAGGAATCTTTCTCTAAGTAGAGACAATAGAACTGGTATTTTGTCAGGGAAAAAAAGGATTGGACTGATGCCTGTGCTACTTGGTTTGGAACTGCAGCTATGACCACTCAATTCAGGCCTACCTGCCGTACGATCGACAGTGGATTAAACAGCGAACCTTCCAGCACCTCAAGAAATTGGCAGTACATTGAAAGTGATGCTTTAGTCTGGCACTAAATTAACTAATACCTGAATCTGTGAACTGAGTCAAACAGAAAGGAAAGGTGAGGTTAAAGATTTGGACTTTATTGTTTGGGCTTCAGTTACCATATTTTGGGAATATGAACAACATCATGGATCAGTTTCTCCCAGCTGTATGTATATTTGATACTGATGGCCGTCCAATTTGGTTTGAGATGGATGTCCTTACAGCAACCATGGTTTGTGTGATTGTGTATCTTGTAGCCATGAACTTTTTACAGTGTACCAGACTTTGAATTTGCTACTTATGGCATCTAAAGACATGTATTGAATCAACATATTAATGGCTGGCTTCCTGCACAGAACTTGTTTAATCTTGGGCTTGATGTTGGAAAGTCTATTAACTTCGTTATATTTGTTAAAAGGTGGTTATGTGATGGACCTAATATCAACAAGATGACCTATTCCTATATTATTGAGGTGGATTAGCAGCCTTTATATGCCTGTGGTGTTACAAATCTGTAACCTCGGCAGACTTTAGCCAAGCTGATAGAATTTTTCTGGCAATTGTAGGCTTGTGGCCTGTAACCTGCAGAATTTATGTTTTCATTCAATAGGAAATTTCTATATGGATTCTTTCTCTTTTTTCTTGCAAATTATATTTATTGATATTTTTCCTTAGAAAAATTGGTCCAACAACGTGGATGCACCTAACCTCTAACAAATACAGTTTTAATAAACCAGTTTGTTTACCAGTTTTATTTAACCGTTTTATTCACTTGATTCTGATTCTCCTCTCTGGGATTTATAGTAAAGCTTATATATGGAAAATGGGTGTGGCATTTTCTCTCTTCTGCTTTCAGTGATAAATTGCTTGAAATGAGAATAGGACTTCATTCAATGGCAGTTGCTCCATTCTCCTTGCGTACAAGTGAACCACAAATTAAAAGATTGTTCTCCTTCTAGCTCAAGCTGTAGGAAGATGGAGAGGGAGAGAGGTTTCAGAGCTGTAGGAAGATGGAGAGCTGAGGTGTCGATTGAAGCTAAGACCTTCAAGTTTGAAGAGGAGCGGGTAAGAGGTAAGGAAGGAGTGAAGATAAGAGAAAACAATAGGGTGACAGTACTGGTTCTAAGTGAAGTCATCATATGGATGAAAGGATTTGTTGATGGAGCTATCAACTCCGGCAAGGTGAATGGATGGAGAAACTCGATGACAGTTCTAGGCAAGAAGTATGTTATAGAACTGAAGAGAAATCGGAAGGGGTGGTTCATCACAGTGGAGTTCTTTGGAACATCTGGGAAACAGATGCTCTGTGTACCGGAAGGGAAATTGCAGAAAGGATGGAAGGGCTTTGTGAAGGTGCTGCAGTCTTTTCTTGAAGTTTTGATAAATAGAAAGTTGGAAGAAGTGGAGGAATCTGGTCAAAACTTCAAAGACCAGGGGTGGAGGAGACAGGAGGAGTCAGTGGCAGTAGAAACTACTGGAAGTGAAGAAGTCCAACATCCTCAGATGTCTGAAGTGGTGGTGACTTGTTCATCTATACGTTGACGAATTCTGGTGGGAGCAGGGAAAGAAGCTTGGACGAAAAGAATGGTTCTGGTGGCTGAAAAAAAAGTGAAAGATTGGAAGAAAGTCCTGGATGTAGTTGCCGGTGAGTTAGGTGTGGAGATGAAGCTACACTGGAGCCATTCACAGATACGAAGGCTGTGTTGGACGTGGGCGAGCAGGAACTGAGCTTTAGAACTGTTGCAGTGGACGGGGGCCTTATTCAGGTTCAGAAATGGAGCCCCATTTGCAGTGAAGTTGCTGTCCATGATGGGTGTGTTAGGCTGAAACTTATAGGTCTCCCATTCCACCTTTGGAGTGACTCTGTTCTTGAATACATTATACAGAGCCTAGGAGGTGTCTTGGTGGAAACTGATAAGCAGAACTTGGTTGCCATCGAGATACAAGTGGTTGGTATCAAGCATGAGAACATGCCGAGGTTCGTTGAGGTGCTCGGATGGGGTGTGGTACAAAGTTTGGGTTGCTGTGGAACTTGAACAGGCGTGGTGGGGAGGGGGGTCCAAGGTCGAAGACGATGAGTCAGCGGGGTGGTGGACACGTGGAAGGAAGATAGTGGGCGGTGAGAAAGAGGTGCAGGTGGACATTGAAGGAAGGTTTAATGGGCCGGCTGGGGCAGCCCAAACGTTAGGCCGGTTGACTAAGGAAATTAATTCAAAAAATTTTGAACGAAATAAACTAAAGGCGGGATTAGTAACTTATGTTGACGTGGCAAGGAAACCGATTAGACCAGGGGCAGAATGGTTCAGTTCGAGCCGGTTGAGGTGAAACGAGGGTTGGGCGGTCTAATAACTAAACTGGGGCCTCTTTTAAGTGACCCACGTGACTACTTAAATGGTCACGTGGGTCGGGGGGAAGGGGAGGTCAATCCGCACGATGATAAACACAAGTAATGGTCTATCATCGTCCCAAAAGAGAATGGAGGTCCGAAACTCTTACCAGTAGCCGCACGAATTCGTTGGGAGAGTTACAGTGGGTCCCTCGTTGGAACTTGGATGAGGGAAGCTCCAGGCGGCGACTCTCAGAGAGGCCAAACCCGAGATACTCGAGGGAGAGTGCCGAAGAGAGAGAGGAGGCTAATGAAGATTGGGTCATGTGCAGCAACGACGAAGATGATTCAGATGAAGGGGTAGAGGATGGCACCGGTATCGGTAGTGTGGATGAAGATTCTGGTTACGATACAAATGACAGGGGAGAATGGAACATTGCGAAGGTGTTTCGGGATGACTCAGAGGAGGACGGGAGGTGTTTAAGCAGATGCCAGGAAGGTCAAATAGAGGTAGCAAGAAGCTTGAGACCCTATGAAAATAGCAAGACTGGAAGTCTGAAGTGGGAAAACCTATTTCCAAGACCTCGGATTGTGCAAGGCATAAATGAAAGTGCAAATCAGGAGGACTTGAAGCAAAGTTGGAACAAACCATCCAGGGGTACAGAGAAGAGATCACCTTATTGACCAAGGGACAAAAGGTCTCTCCCACCAACCTAGGGAGACAGACATTGACCAACCTCGGGAACTAGAAAGGGAGGCCGGGAACACTCTTAATCCATTTTCCCTCTCACACCCAGGTAACCAAGTGAATTCGGATTTTGGTACTAATGCTTTTTCTGTGTTCTTTGTTCCAGATTTTGCTTCCGATCCTTGTCTTGATGCCCATGTATGTGCAATCAATCAAGAGAGTGGGGTTGCAAGGGAGGTGAAGAGCAACGGAGAGGAGTGGGAAGGGAGGTATAGAAATGAGAAAGTGTGGGCAATTATTGAGAGGGTATTCAAAGAGGTGGAAGAAAATGGGATATGGGGAAGGGGTGAAGAGGAGAGAAGGGGGGGTTCATTGGAGAGAAGGAAAGAACAGGAGGGCAAGGAAGGAAAGTGTGGAGTGTACTATGGAGGAGGGAGGAAATGTGGCAAGGGTGAGGAATGGAGAGGGGAGAGGACGGGAGGGATCAGAGGAGAGGGGGGAAGGAGAGGTGGATAGGGCCGGAAAGGAAGGTGGAGAAAGGTCAGTGGGGGAGGAACCTAAACATGAGGAGTCACTAGCAGATTTTGTGGGGAAGTTGGGATGCAGATTAGAAGATCTGAATATGATGAAGGAGGGATTACATAAGAGGAGGAAGGAAGTCAGAATAAAAAAGAGAAAGTTGAGTGAAGTTGAGAGGCTGAAAAGAGATGTGAAAGGTGATAAGGAGTTTGGGGCAAGAGGGGATAGGAGGAAGGGGGCAAAGTAGTGGGTAGGTGTGGAAAGAAAGTAAGGAAAGAGTTTGAATGAAGATACTAAGCTGGAAAGTGAGGGGAATAGGGAATGCGAGGAAAAGAGCAACAATAAAAGAGGTAACAAGGAGGTATAACCCAGACATTGTAATGCTACAAGAGTCTAAGAGGATGAAATTTAATGTTAGATGGGCCCGGAGTGTATGGAAAGCGAGGGGGATCAGTTGGGTGGCAGCTCCATCCTGGGGTGCTTCACGGGGGATAGTGACTATGTGGAAGAGGGAGGTGGTAAAAGGCTTGGAGGAATTGATTGGGAAGTTCTCAATCTCCATGAAGTTCAAACAACAAGAGGATGGATATGTGTGGGTTCTTACAAATGTTTATGGGCCAAATGATTATAGAGAGAGAAAGGAGTTGTGGGAGGAATTGGCTGATGTAAGAGGACTATGGGATGGGCCTTGGTGTGTGGGTGGAGATTTCAATGTGATCAGATATTCAGAGGAAACAAATAAGAGCAATCAGAGGGTGGCAACTAGCATGAGGAAGTTTAACAGGTTTGTGGATGCCTTTGAGCTTAAAGAGATACCTCTAGCCTAGAAGACTTTTCACTTGGTCAAATCTCTAATCTAGGCCCATTTGCTCTAAGTTGGATATGTTCTTGTTTTCTTTGGATTGGGAAGAACATTGGGGGAACATGGCATCTAGGGCCCTTTATAGGGTTATCTCGGATCATTGGCCTATAGTGATTTGCAAGGAAGAAAGAAGGAATGAAGGTCCTACTCCTTTTAGATTTGAAAATATGTGGTTACTCCATCCCGAGTTTACTATTAGGGTAAGAAAGTGGTGAAATGAGTGTAATCTAGTGGTGGAATGGGAGGGGGTGAGATTTCATAAGAAGCTACAGTTCTTGAAAGCTAAGATCAAGGAGTGGAATATATTGGAGTACGGGAGGCTAGAAGAAGGGAAGAGAACTTTGATGGACAAAATTGAAAGCCTTGACTCTAAAGAAGAAAGGGGAGATTTTGGAGAGGGGGACAAGGAATGAAGAGGAGAATTGAGAAGACAGTTCGAGGACTGCCTACATAAGGAGGAAGTTAGCTGAAGGTAGAAATCTAGGTGTAAATGGTTACAAGAGGGGGATAGAAACACTAGGTACTTTCACTCTTTGGCAGATGAACAGAGAAGGAGAAACTACATTTCCAAACTGGTTGTGGATGGAGTTGAATTAACTCAATAGGAGGAGATTGTTGGGGCATGTATAGAACATTTTAAATCCATCTTGAGAAGACCTGTAAGTGAAAGGATGTGGGTGGAGGGATTGGACTGGCCAGATGTAGGGCGGGGGAGAACAGGAAAAGTTTGGAGAGGGGGTTTGACTTGGAAGAGATTAAGGAAGCAGTTTTTTCTATGGATAGAACAAAAGCTCCAGGGCTGGATGGTTTTACAATGGCTTTCTATCAGGATTGTTGGGATATACTGAAAGAGGACCTACGGATTTTTGAGGAGTTTCATAGGAGATGAATTATTAACTCGGGGATGAATTCCACTTTCATTGCTCTGATTCCCAAAAAGATTGAAGCCTCACACCCAAGGGATCATTGCAAGG